AACTTTGAGGCTGTTAACTTATTTCCCCGATTGAATTCCAAGCATTAGCCACTGCGAATGCCTCCGATGGCATTTGGGTCAACTGGTAGATGTACAGATTCGTCACGGGAAATACGATTTGGTGCATGCGGTCTAACTACTCCCATCTTCGGACGCCGTTTATGTGTTTTGCTGAGCGGCAGAAGAGCTGATGGGCTGAAGAGGTCGTGAACAAAGTGAACAGTCATTGCTCGATGCCATTCTCCTCTTCACCAGATCCCATTCTGGTCTGTGAAAGAGGCCCACACGAGCCTCGGCACCTCGAGACAGGCATCCGGTTGCCTGACAAGCGCTATCTTCTCTTAAAACCAGCCTCCCTCCCCCCGTCAGGCTGCCCCAATTCCGCCCCACTTCTACTCAGCTCAGCCCCTCCTCCTTCTCCGTTCTCCGGTACATCTTCTCCCCTCCCCTCCCCCACCCTCCGATTGCTTAGACAGACTCATTTGCCTGCCAATAGCGAATTGTTCACATCTCCCTCGTACTCCAAATGAATTCTGCTCTCCGATAGTGCCAAGAGTAAAACGGAAGTTGGTAATTAGCCCATTTTATCAGCATATGTTGCTGTTCGGGTTGCTCTTGTCGACTGCATATTTTCTTTATGCATACACTCACTATGAGCCCAAACTAGCAACACACACACACACACACACACCCCACCCATATACACATATACAGACAATGCAAAATGATGTGCATACAGGTTTGCACAATCTGACCAGGCTGCATAGTCCAGGCATGTACTGACTTTCGAGATGAGCTCGGACAAACTGCTACTCGAGTGGACGGGGGGCAACGAGTGAGCCGGAAAAATGGGATAACTGAGCCCAACTGAATGTCATGTGTAAATGCAAATACAACCAAGTAGACCAATCGACATGACAACGTGATTCCTGTTATGCATCGGTCACCGCCAGCATACTCTGCTCTACTGTACGCCGTCAAATTGAGCGAAAGAAGGAGATGATTGAATGAATAAATTTGGACATTCACAAACACACACACACACATACACACACACATTGTGTGTGTGAGAGAGAAAGAAAGAAAGAAAGAGAGGTCCAGGGAATAGCTGAAATTGGCGAAAATAATGGGGCAAAATCGGCAGCAACTTTATTTCCCTTTTAGTGTCATTCTCCGCTGAGCAGGCAAAGCAAATCCCAAAGGACATAGACAGACGCAAACACACCAGCCAGCGCATACCAATTCATAAATGAACTGACCGCATATTTTCGTACACATGTTTGCGACTACATGATTGAGAGTAAGTTTATTGATGCATTCATGTATTCTTTTGTGTATGTTTAAGCTTGTGTGTGTTTGTGTGTGTGTGTATGTGGGATAACATCACACTTATCCGAGGACAACTGCAAATAGGCGCTGGTTTAGGAATATTGGAATAATTGCCTCGGTCAAGCGGAATTGTCGAGCAAAGTAGTTTTAGTCCGGAAAACACTGGAGGAAACCTTTTGAGGAGGAGAGGGGGGGGGAGGAGGGGGGAAGGGCGCGAAGTCGGATTTGCTCGGAGGGTGGTGTGGTTGCGTGGTGAAAGGGGAGACACATGGTGGAAGGGGTCGAATGAAGAAAAATGTCCAGTTTTAATTGGCCTCATTCGGCCGACCAACAAGTTATGCCGCCTCCTCACCCGAAAAAGTCAATCCGGTGTCACAATCGCCGGATACTCAAACAGTCCGGCCTTCCAACGGCAGCGTTGTACCCACCAACGGGGCTCGTGTTGTCGCCAGGTCAGAGAGGGGAAAAAGAATGGCTTCAACCAACACAGCACCCTTGACTCGTCTGCTCTGATGCATGCTGTACCAGTTTGTAGCGCCCAAGGACCTAGTCCCACGGCCTCTAATTCCCTACCAATCACATAAAGTCGCATTAGTGCCACAACCAAGTTCACCGTAATGCACAGGGACGGATTCGAACTCTGATCGCCCTCAGGCCGTTTTATCAAAAGAAGTAGACCGAGACCATCTTTCTCGTGCCACCAGCTTTAACAGCAATCGCGAATGACCCCGGACCGCTTCGCATCCTTTTTTGGCATCGAATAGCCCAACATCACACAACTGCAAAGGGGTGGTTGCTCGATCAAATAAAGGCAAAGCCGACCGATTTCTCGGGACTTGAGCTCATGTCGGTTGTGCTGAAGCCCGCGATTGTCAGCAAACGTCAATAGCCGTTGTTGCTCAAATTAGCTAACCATCCACCACACAGTCACAAAGCGTTTTGTGAAGAAGCTGTAATGGCCAAATGCCGTCTATGATGACAGCTACGGTCTCCAGTTTGTTTTTCGGTTTTGCAATTTTGTTTGAATTCCTTTGCTGCCGCTGGCTACAGATTGAATTCTAGTCCCGAGACAAAGTGATTGTCATGATGTCCGTGGATGGTATTCACCGGTGTTGT